TGTGTCTCACCTGTGTGTGTCTGTCTCACCTGTGTCTCACCTGTGCCCGCAGTGGACCCGGTGGACGCCGAGAGCAGCCGCATGGACTCCAACTTCGGGCTGGTGGGGGGGTCCCTGGGGGGCTCCCCCCGCGCCCGCGGCCGCATCGAGTGCAAGTGCGGGGCGGCCTCGTGCCGCAAATTCCTGTTCTGAAACACCTGGGCCACACCTGGGCCACACCCAGCGCACACCTGGGCCCCGCCTGCGCCGCCGCCGCCGCCGGGGAGGGGTTTGGGGAGGGGCCTGAGGGGTTTTGGGGAGGGGTTTTGGGAGGTCCAGGTGATTTTGGGGTGGGGTCTCCAGGGTTTTGGGGGTCCAGGTGGGTCCTGAGGAGGAATTTTGCGGCTCCAGGTGGTTTTGGGGTGGGGTCTCCAGGGTTTTGGGGGGGTCCAGGTGGGTCCTGAGGAATTTTGGGGCTCCAGGTGGTTTTGGGGAGGGGCCTGAGGGGTTTTGGGGGGTCCAGGTGATTTTGGGAGGGGTCTGGAGGATTTTGAGGAGGAATTCTGCGGCTCCAGGTGATTTTGGGGAGGGGTCTGAGAGGTTTTGGGGCTTCAGGTGATTTTGGGTGGGGTCTGAGGGGTTTTGGGGGTCCAGGTGGATCCTGAGGAGTTTTGAGGAGACCCAGGTAATTTTGGGAAGGGTCTGAGGGGTTTTGAGGAGGAATTTTGGGAGGTCCAGGTGATTTTGGGGTGGGGTCTCCAGGGTTTTGGGGTCCCAGGTAATTTTGGGAGGGGTCTGAGGGGTTTTGAGGATGAATTTTGGGGCTCCAGGTGAGTCCTGAGAGGTTTTGGAAAGAGATTTTGGGGCTCCAGGTGATTTTGGGAGGGGTCTGAGGGGTTTTGAAGAGGAATTTTGGGAGGTCCAAGTGATTTTGGGGTGGGGTCTCCAGGGTTTTGGGGCTCCAGGTGATTTTGGGAGGGGTCTGAGGGGTTTTGAGGAGGAATTTTGGGGTCCCAGGTGTGTTTGGGGGTCTCCAGGTGCCACCTGATCGCAGCACCTGTAAAATCACCTGGAGGGGATTTTGGGGAGGGGTCCAGGGAGGTTTTGGGGTGGTTTTGAGGTGTTTTTGAGGTGTTTTTGGGGTGTTGAGGGGGGGTCTGGGGACCTTTGGGGTATTTTGGGGTCACACCAAACTCAAAAGCCAGACAGGGCAGTTTTGGGGTGGATTTTGGGGAGATTTCGGTGCCACGCGCCGCCCAAAAACCTCACCGCGTTCTGGGCGGGGTTTGGGGGGATTTCAGGGGATTTTGGGGTTTTTCAGGGGGGTTTTGGGGTTTTTCAGGGAGGTTTTTGGGTTTTTCAGGGGAATTTTTGGGTTTTTCAGGGGAATTTTGGGGTTTTTCAGGGGATTTTGGGGTTTTTCAGGGGGTTTTTGGGTTTTTCAGGGGAATTTTGGGGTTTTTCAGGGGAT